CTAGGCAGAGATGGTAAACCTTTTAGAGCTTTTGAAGATACAAAAGGCCCACTGAGACACATGGGTCATAGGTTTGCAACCACTGGCCTAGTAGAAGAGATAATTTATGGTAACTTCTTTCACATACTTTATATTATGCATCAAATGTCTGAGCACCCCACACACAAATTTATGTTGAATCTCTAACCTCCCACTGTGATGGTTATTAGAGGTGAGCCTTAGGGAGGTAATTAGGTTTAGTTTAGGTACCAAGGGTGAGCAGTCTAATGAGATTTATGTCCTTAAAAGGCAAAGAGAAAGATCTCTCCTTTTTTCCTCCCTTTTCCTCTCCCTCTCACTCTTCCCCTCCACCTGCAGACACCAGGAGACTGAGTCAGGAGGCAACAATCTGCAAACCAAGAAGAGGGCTCTCCCCAGCTCTCAACCAAGCTGGTACCCTAATCTCTGACTTCTGGACTCAAGGAATAGTGAGAAAATATATTTTTTGTTTTTCAAGCCACCCAGTCTACAGTAGTTTGTTTTGGCAGCCCAACTAGTCCAAGATGTTATATCGAAAAATATTTTTAAAATGAGACTTTGGAAGACAAGATTAATTTTCACACCATCCCAATATGCCATTAATCTATAAATCTACCTCCTCAAATACAGTATTCACTACAGCAAAACACAGCATCATTACATATACTAGTAGGTGTCTACTGATTTCCCAAAATGGCCAATAGGGAGAGCAAAATAGGTTAGGAACAGAAAGCTACACTCAGTACATGTCATTTTTTGTTTTGTTTTGAAGTTACACTCAATGCATGTTTATGGTCCTCGGCAATTTCTCTTTCCAGGTCAGCATTGTGCAAACATCGATAGTAAACACCAACTAGCTATACATACTGTGAGCAAAAGAATAACAAATAATCTACTAATGACAATAAGAATTCTTAAAATCGAGTCTAACTGGCCCTATCTCCACTAGTTCAAAAAAATGGCAACATTACAGGTTGAATGCTAGTTTGCTATATCAAGTTTTCTAATAAAACCAGTTTTTAAACTTCACAAATGCAATATAAAGCATCTTTTAAATGCCATAAATCTATTGCTTACCTTCAGCATTTAAATGCAAAACTCTACAATGACTTTATAAAATGCACTTCATTTCCTATTTTAAAAGGTAAGCAAAAATTACCATTTAAAATTCAAAAGAACCTAAAATTATTCTTCCTTTTCATGTGTGAAAGAGACAATCTGTAAAATAAATACCCTAGAGAATACTTTTATAAGTTGGATTTAACACAGAATAGCTGTTTTTTTCCAATGCAGCAATCAATTCGTTAAGTAATTATCTACCCTGAAAGTATAAAAGCTATGTAGAAGAATGCCAGGACACGATGCAATAATTTTATAAAAACTATCAAACAGCAATAAAGATTTAAAATGCAATACCTTTTAAATATTCACCACTGTAAGAAAATGGGCAAAAAATGTGTGTTTACAGATAACTTTTAATATTAAGAGACATCAGATTCACTTTTGAATAGCTTATTCAGTTACCATGATAGCCTCTACTGTTGACAATAAAACGTTCGAACTATTTCTCATTTAGTACTATTTTACCAATGAAAGGAAATGTACTGCTGAAAATAAGAGGAAAAACAAGCTTTGACAAAGCAAATGATTTTTTTTTTTTTGGTACCGGGGATCAAACTCAGGTCCTTGTGCTTTCGAGGCAGGCGGTGGAACCACTGAGCTAAATCCCCAGCCCAGCAAATGATTTTATATGCCATCTCTTCCCACTATAATTGTGAGACTGAACCATTGTCTGATAAATATATTGACAGACATATGTCAAAATCTGCTGGGTCAACACAGCTACCCTATGCTATAGAATAAATGGAATTTAAATTTTGTTGTAAAACCAATGAGCTATTACAAAGAGAGTAAGTATACAAAGCTACCATACACATTGAATCTATTTGTTCAATTCCATTTTTCCTTACTATGTATCTCTTTTGTCCCTCTGGTTACCAGAGTACATAGGACAGGCTACATAATTTTAAATACTAAACACCAAAAATCACTTTGTGGGCCTGAATCCAAGGATTAGAATAAACTGCGAATTTTATTAAATCTTGCAGTAATAGGCCAATTAAGACATTAACAAGAGCTAGTTCTACATTTACTTTTTTCTTATGATAAAAGTAAAGTGAAAATACGTAAAAATATGAGAAAAACATTTTTTAATCATCAATAAATCCTGCCACCCAGAAATCTTTATTTTTTGGGGAGACTGCCTTCCAGTGACACACACCTTGATGTTCTAAGCAGACACTAATAAATATACAGTTAAAAAAAATCAATGTCCCCTCAATATGGCCCTTTGACAAATGTTATCTAAAACACCGATTAATAACATAACCAGTTAATTTCACAAAGGTCTCTAAAATGTTTTAAGTAGTGGGGGGGCAGGGAGTCTCGAAAACCTGAGAGTGGTCTGGAAACTGCAATCTCTTCATTTTTCCCGTGTCAACACTTCAGTGGCAACAAGCAGCATCAGTACTACAGTGCAACCAACACTGATGTTCCTACATCAAACAGGCTTTACTTCCATTTTCTTCCCGTTCATATTTCAGCTATGTTGTTATTTTCATTGTAAGTAATAAATTATATTGCACAGTAATTTTAAAAGAGCTTAAATTCATAGACACCAATTTTTTTCCTTTGGAAACAGCATTCAAACTGTTAGTGCTTCTAGCCTATGGAAGGTTTACTAGATGAAAGGATAACATTCATTACATTCCAGTGTTCTTCCATAGCATTAAAAATTAAAAAGTAAAAGCATATTCCTTAAATACAATCATAGTTTTCTCTTTTGCTCCAACCCATTGTTTATGGAAGTATGCAGACATTAAAATTACAAAGACTGAAACTGCTTCATTAACAGAGCAGCAGCTCAACGTTTAATAAATAAGCCAGCTCAGACTCATAGAACAAAAAATCAGCGCTATTACCACGAGCAATTTTCCCCCCTAAAATTGAGTTTAGCCTTGTATCTAACTTCCAGGAAGGTTTAGGTCAACTCAAGAAATCAAAGGTCTCAAATCCCATTCATTTTCTTCTGCCCAATAGCTAACGAAGTCAAAACACGGTGACTCTCGTTTGTTACTTTTTCTTGCACAAATGTATTTAAAAAGAAATCCTTCAACAAAGAATCAAAAAGATAAAGAGTAAAATTTGGGGCAAGAATTGTGTGTCTTTAAAACAAGCATTTCCTGGTAAGTGACAGGTCTGGTCGTGAGGAATGCACTTTGCTGACCATAGAAACGGCCAAGACTCAAAATTTGTAACTGCTGTACGTAGATATTGAATTTGGCTAAGAGGCGATAAAACACGACCAAGCCTTCGATGGACATATTAACATTAAGGAGAGGCGCGGCGGATTTCAGTTAAATGCTTCTGCCATTTTTGCAGAAGAAAAGCTAATTGTCAATGGCCATGTGACATTATAGATCCCAGAAAGGAAAGGGTGGGAGGAAGAGCAGAGTTCAAGGCAGTTCAAGGCAGTTCAGGGTCAGAACAAGCTCAGGCATCCTGTCATTAGCCCAACGTTCCCAAAGCTGAAGACAAAATACTGCTTACCCGAAAAGGAGTGGGGAAAAAAGTGGGGGGCGGGGGTCAACAGGGGAAAGCAGGGCCAAGTCAATGTGGCAGTGTGGGGGTGACGGGAGGAAACCTGGAGCTATCCAGCGGAGTTGGGGAGCAGAAGCTTGGGGACAGAAACGCTAAGAACAGAGGCACACCGGGCACCGCCCCCCCCCCCCCGCGCGCCGCCGCCGGTTCTCTGGGTTTCCCACACCCTCCTCCCCCGCTCCGGACCAACACCCCGGGCGTGACCCGCCGACGGGAGGCCGCCCCGGATCTTTGTCTCGCGCGCCCCACGCGCGGGCTCTGCCGCCGACCCCCGCCCGCGCAGCCTCCCGGTCTCCCAGGAGCCGCGAGCGCCGCGGCCGCCTCCCGCCGCCCCGCGCCCCTTCCTTCCCTCCGGGCCGCCCCACCCCGCCGAGGGCACCTTTGTGTCTCCGGGGACTTTCCGCCTCTTCCCCTCCTCCGCCTCCTCGCGGGACCCCGGGGCGGCCGCAGGCACCCGGGCCCAGCGACCGCGCCGCGCCACCCAGCCCCGGAAATGCCCTGCGGTGACAGCCGCCCGCGAGCCCCCGCACTCCACTTCCCGGCCCGCCGCCCTCCGTCCCGCGCACGCTCGGCCCCGGACTCTGCGGGAGACGGGGACGGCGCAGCTCGCTCGCCGGCCGCCAACTCACCGGCAAGTGCGGGCGGCGAGTCCCGGCGGGCGGGCGTGAAGGGAAGCGGCCCCGCGACGCGCGCGGAGCCCGGATGCAGGTCCCGGCCTCGGGCGGCCTCCCCGCCGCCGCCTTCCGGGCTGCCGAGGCGCGGAGCTGCGAGGCCCGCGGCGCCTCACGCGGTGCCGAGCCCCCCAGTCAACATGGCTCCCGGTCCGCCGGGCCGCGCGCTCTGCCCCGCCGAGAAGCCGCGGCGGCGGGCGGCCCCGAGGAGGCGGGCAGGCGGGCAGGCGGGCGCGGGTGCCTTCTGCTCTGCTGCGGGCTGACCCGTGAGGCGCTGAGGAGACGGCGGGCGGGCGCTCTCACTCGCTCCGTGCTCGTCGCGTTCTCGCTTGCGGCTGCAGATTGACGCCTCCGCCTGTTCCCCGGAGGAGACCGAGCGAGCGAGCGAAAAAAAAGACTTAGGGAAACGCTCAGACGAGCGGCGGCGGAGAAAGGCGACCAGCCGCGGGAGCGCCCCCACCCTGCCAGAGCCGCTCCCGGGGGCAGCGCGACCCCTGCTGGCGACGGCCGAGGAGGCGGGGCCTGGGTGGCGGGGCGGGGCCTGGGCATCCCCAGGAAACCCCCAACCCGCGGAGGGCCGGGGTCGGGGCCTGGCTGCTGCGGCTGCGCGAGGGGCGCGGAGACCCCGGGAGCGGGAAGGCGACGCCGTACCTGTCCACGCGGCTGGGAAGGAGAGTCTCTGAATAATGCAGCCCCTTGGCCTTCTCCCAGCAAAACCGAAACTCTTGCTTGAATGATCCAAATCGTTATTGTACAGAGTGGCAATGCCATGGTCCTCTTGGCTTTCTGGTGTCAAAAGTCCCGCAGGCTGAGCGCCGCCGGGTCTGTTCTCGCGTGTGAGCGGACGGTCTAGTTTAGCTCCCATTCCTGTCAGTGGCGCGTGGTGACTTAAACTACCATGTCTTTATGTATACTTATGTTCTTGGCAACAGGCTAGCTCCTTAAGGTCTAGCAGCGATGAAAGATGACAGCGTAACAAACAAACAAACAAACCAAAAAAGACGTGAGCTTGTGAGAGGGGAAATTGGAGTTGCTCAGAGAACATAAGGCCTACTGTTGTCTGTCGAGGGTTAGGTTTTGTTTTCTTGGGGGAGGCGGGCAAGAGGTTGGCCCAGTTTCTGTAAATGTTTTTACTTTTTTCTTTCCCAGGGGCTAAAAGCTAGTTCAGGAATGAACAGCAGAGTGAAAGTGAAGACAAACTAAAGTCATACTGACCCACTTTTTTTTTTTTCCACAAATAAGGGTAGAAGCATAAAGTAAAAGCAATCTTAAAGCCCTAGAAGGAGACACTGTAATAAGAGTATTGAAAGAAAAAAATAGGAACCGGATAAAGACAGCCTAAATAAGAAAAAAAAAACCTTTAACCACATGAAAGAGCTGTGAAGTGAGATATAAAATGTTTTACCATTGTAATACCCAGAAAGGGGGAGGGGGGCTTGCTAAGACCCTCTCACTAAGTCTGCAAGAAGCCCAGGCTGGGCTTGACTTTTCAGTCCTCCTCCTTCAGCCTCCCACGGTGGTGGGATTACAGGTGTGTGTGCTGTGCAGTTTCGAGTCCTGTTATGTCCTAAGGACTTTCAACAACTGTCTTCTTCGAGGATCCTTTTCTCTTGAAAATACTCCCTGCTGACTTTTTTCTCTTACTTTGCTGGGCAAAGTTGAATGCCATGTACTGTAATATCCAAAGATCATACTTAATCAGGCTTCTCCCATGCCTCTCAAGTTACATTAGCTACAGTTGTGCTGTACTACACATATTTAACACCTGTTTATCATGGAAGAATGCAAAAGTATATAACAAGCTTTCCTATAGAACAAGCGTGCTTTTTAAAAAGCACACTTGGCATTTTTTAGATTTGTTCAAGCCAAATAATTTTATAATATAGCATAAATTTCACAGTTCTTTTTAAATTGGAAAAATGTTTCACAAGATCTACTTATATACCAAGCATTTTTACATGTTTATCTTTTTGGGTTCCCTTAGTAAACATTCAAAAATCACCAAAACAGAGTCTACAGAACTGTATTGAGTTTCAGCATTGATAATCTCACCTTCATATCATTAGATGGGAATTTCTCCTTTAGAAATCAAAATAGTGTTCAGACTGCCTCATCCAAAGCTGCTAAAGAGCATTCGCTCTGCTCCTACCATAATATAGATTTGATGGTCAGAACTTAGATGATTATTTTATTGACCTATTTGTTCTTTCAGTAAGAAAATACTAATTGTACATCATGTGTCAGGGACTCTGCTAGATGTTGAAGATGTAGGTGTGAATATGACAGACAAGGTACTGCCCTTACAGAACTGTTCTAGTGGTGAAAACAAGCAATAAATATGTGAACTACTTAAGAAACTCGTTAGAATTCATAATCCGTAAGAGGTTTTTGAAGACAATGAAACTGTAATGGAAAAGGAAGGAGGGAAGTCCGCAGGGTTACTTTAGATGGTAATAGCAGGAGAGGCCTAATTATCAGGGCTAAAGCCATGGGATCTTTCTTTGTATCATTCAGTAAATTATTTGATCAAGCAAAGGTCACACAAATCAATGGATGGGGCATTTCATTAGCTTTCAAAATTGATTTTAAATTCACACATAATATTTTGGGTATGTTGGTTGGTCTTATAACTAGGTTGCAATATAGGTGCTTTTTCCATTGTAAAATACAGTTAAGTTACAGGGTTATGTATTTAGAGTACTCCCCAAATTGTGGTTGATAAATATTCCCGAGTGCTTGGTGAAGAGGGGTTCAGGAAGAATTCCGAGTCAAAATCCACTTGGGAAATGCCACATACTTTATCTCCCTTCTGGAAAAGTCACATTTACATATTTAAAGCTCTGAGAAGAAAAACAATTTTCTTCCCAGTGACATCAGTGTATCCCAGAATGCTTTCACCATTAGCACACTGCATCGTATGTAGGGCACGTATGAAAAAATCAAGGAGAGAATTTGAAGGTCATTAAACCTTGGACAGAGCAAGTAAAAGGGGATGGAGCCCAAGAGTTTTTGCCATGATTCATACTCTGAGTGTGACATTGCCTGGGAACAAATATGAAACATACTCAGATAAGATATGGAAAAGAAACATGTTGGTTTTCAGTTGCTGTACTTGAGTGGTTTTCAAACTGTCATCCTGGAGTCAGCAACAGCGCCATCACCAGGAAGTTTCTTAGGAGAACAATTTCTCAGGTCCCGAACTAGAGGCTCAGTGTGAGGCCCAGCGAACTGTATTACCAAGTTCTCTAATTCCACTACAGAATAAAGTTTGAGAGTCACTGCTCTCCATAACATCAGCATATAACATGTATCTACTTACAAAACGAATTCCCACATCTCTGAATGCCTGAATTGTTTAAAATCTTCAAGGAAATTAGCTACCTGACCAAATTGGGAAAACTCGTTTTTGTCTAGATCCATTCCCTATTTTGTGAGAATGCATCACAGAGAAAAATCTGTTTTGTTTTTGCTTTTGCTTTTTTGTTTTGTTTTTTGCAATAAGAGTGAAGCAAATAAAGCTAAGGGTAGCAATCAACTATCTTCTCCCTAAAATCACTGGAGCAAAATAATTTTGTACTTGGTAAAAATGCAACTGTGAGAAAAGAGGATTTTGTCAAAGGATTTTTTAAAACCTGCTTTGAAAACAAACTAGCTTTACCCTACATTTATAAATGTATGTATGTATGTGTGTGTGTGTGTGTGTGTGTGTGTGTGTGTGAGAATGGATATCTAGAAACAAAACACTCCAGCTTGAGTCATGTAATTGCAAACAGTTGCACAAAAGGAGACTAGGT